CACATGTGTATGAAGAAGGCAGTAGTAAGATAACGAGACTGAGATTTGGGGACATGAAGCGAGTCGCCCATGGCCATGCACCTGAACTGGTAATACTGACATCCTCCAAAAAAAAAAAACAGGCTTTCTTTTACTCTGTTCTGTACTATTGTCTTGCTTGCTTTTTCCCAGACACTCAAGATCTCATGGACATGAAGTGGGTCAGAATTCCTGCCCAGAGCAAACACACATGGAACAGCTCCCCACGTCAACTGTCCTGATTTCCCAGGCCCAGATTCTGACCATACCCTTCAGGAAGGGGTCACTGCCCACTAACCATGCAGCGAGCACAGACAGGAGTAGAAAGCAAGGCAGAAACAAGAGTCAGGGCAGCGACCCTCTGAGCCCCTCCAGAATGGGGGCCACACACCTTGCAGGAGAGGGCGCTGGCCCGGGACCAGGAAGCTGGGGCTCTGGGCTCCACCTCGAAGTGGCTGTGTGACCTCAGCCAAGCCTCCTAGCTTTCCGGGATTAGCATGGCCTCCTCCGTGCTAACGTCCTCTCTGTCTACAGGCCCAATCTCACCTCCACTTTTTTGCATCCTAGGGGACGTGCCTCTTCTCAACCTGGCCGTCATGTCATGTCTTACTGCAGAGGATGAATTACCTCAGGAATTGCAGGCTTACCCAGTGTACCTGCCAAAACAGCTGTTATTCTTCCAGCCATCTGAAAGCCCAGCTCACGGCTTGCCTCAGTTAAGAGTGAGCAGGTTGGGTTCCTTCGCAGGTTAATTACACATTGAGTGGAAAGCACTTCCTTTCATCAGTTCTAAATTTGCTCCCTTTTAATTCTGTCAAGTGCGGCCTCTTTCTCCTATTAGGGGAAAGGGCAAGAAGGAGCCTGCAACTGGCTTGCTGCTCCCATTCATTACACTCGCCACCTCAGAAAGTGCTCACCCCTTTCCTCCGCTCCTTTCAGAACGAAATGTGTCATCCTTCTTGGTGTGGAAGTCGCCCTGGTCCCCATATCCATCTATTCTGCCCTTCTGGGGACCTTTTCTATTTCTGTTGTGTCCTATCCTAGATGAGGTGAGCTGCAAAGTGAAGCTGGTAGTCAAGGTAAAGAGAGAGTGCAAATTTACCAGATGGAATAACAATTCTTCCCCAATTGTGCTCCGGTTCTTTCTTAATGCCGACTAATGTCTCGCTCACCTTTTGACTTACTCTTTCCCTTTAAAAATGAAATCCAATAGCATATTCAAGAAAACTAGTAGATCCTTTTTACCCAAAAGGGTGCCAGTAATTTAAGAGTCAAACTCGGAAGTTTAAATTTCTCTCTCCAGCGGTACCGGGGACCTTTGCTACTTTGTTATTTGTCAATACATAATGACATCTTCCCAAGAAAGAGAGAAGTTTGTTCCTTGAAGCAAAATAGCATAGTACTCTCAGGCCCAGGGATCCCAGGCCCAGAAGGTGACTGTGCACTGGGCACAGATTCCCTATATTTGGGTCTGGATGTGGCATTCAAGGCCATCTAGCAGCACCACTCCCCCCCATTAGGGCTACCAAGCCCAAGAAGTTTAGTGGGTTGTCCCAAGTATGCCATTCTCTGTTTGACTACTTAACAAATATTTCTTGAGCACTCACTATAAGCAGACACCGTCATAGGCATTGAAAACAGAGATGAATAAAACAGATCTAATCATAACAGCTACCAGTTTCTGAGAACTTGCCAGGCATTCTATAAATCACTTCATATGGTATCTCACGTCATCCTACCCACAACTATGAGGAGAACACGGCTATTCTCATGCTCATTTTTCATGTCAGGACACTGAGGCTTAGAAAGGTTACAAGCTTTGTCCTAGGTAAGACAGAAAGCTGTGGAGCCAGGAGCCAAACCAAGAAGGGTGACATAGACTGTGGCCCTGCCTCGGCAGGCTCAGCCTGCTATCTGGGAGCCCCCTGCAGCCTACCTTTAAAGCTGGGCTGGGAGCTTTCCTCTCACTATGGGATACCGATTGTTTCTTCCAGGTCTCATCACTCCACCATGTCTCAGTGCATCAAGGGCTTTTTGGCTATGCCTAAGCCCCACATTAACATCTGAGCCCTAGATTATACCCAAGCAGAGGTTTTCAGGCTTCATAAACGACACCAATAGTTCTGAGGTTCAGGGCTTTGGATTCAAAAACCCCAGCTCAACCTGACTCACAATGTTATTCCCAAATCAGGTGCCAGAACCCAGAGCAGGGAGCAGCGGGACGTTCCTGAAAGAGGGTGCTCACGAGCCCTGCTCCTGGAAGGAGCTTCTGCTGGGCTGCTTGAGGCACATGAAAGAGGAACAATGTTCATACGTGCACGTCTGGGTTCTGGATGATGACGAGAATAGGTAACATCCAGTGAGCATTCACTACGGATGAGGCACTGTGTCAAGTGCTTACCCACATTACCTCATTTAAGACCCACAACTGCCCTATGAAATAAGTACTATTACCTTCTTTAACAGAAAAGGCTGAGACACAGAACGGTTAATTAACTTGCCCAAGGTTGCACAGCCAGCAGGACTCAAACCTGGGCTGTCTGATTCCAACAGAGGAATTTAGAGGGAAAGTCTCAATGATGCTTAAAGAAAAAGAAACTCATAGATAACCACGGAGGTCAGCGGCCCATCAACACAGGCTCCTGGCTCTCCTACACAGAACCAGCATACGGATTTTTCTCTCCTGAGCTCAGGCCAGCCACGTGACTGGAGTCCAGGAGCAGAAAAAGAAGCCTCTGCCCTTCCCCAGTAGCTCTGTCTGCTTAAAGCTGTGGCTGTTTATTACTGACTTCTCCTGATCTAATGGGAGTTGAAATTTCCATTAATTAAGAATATAAATAAATAAATGGGTAGGAAAGAAAGCGAGATGGTGGCGTGGTGCCCAGAAGGCTCTGCTGAAAGCAGCCAGTTCACGCTTCATTAGCATCTTTGCTTCCTCTCCAAACCTGCTAGCGCAGCCTTTCTCCGAGACACACTCAGGGAACTCCAGTTTGGAGGGGATGCTTGGGTTTCAGCCTTCGGTGCTCCTATGCATTTCTCATTGGCCTTTCATGGTCTTTAAAGACCAGCCTGCCCCCAAATCCAGGGTACCTCCGCTCAGTCTCCCTTCCCCACAGTGCCTTCAAAAAGAAAGCGATTTCTGCAGGTCCCCCAACGGGAGCCTCAATGCAGTCACAATGCAATGTTGTGACGGTGACTCAGCTGGTCATTAACATTCTCTTGGTCAAGTTTTCCCCTCAGCTAGGTCTTTATGCCCCTCAGGTCAAATCCCTTCTCCCCAAAGTGAGCATTTTATCAGCAGGCTGCTGCTGTTGGCCAGGAGCCAGAGGTGGAAGGGGGAAATGAAGAAGGCAGGACAATGGTGGGAAGTCCACTGCACCAGCAAGCATGCCCGGTGCACCTGTCACCCTGGGCTTTTGGTCAGATACAAAGCGGAGGGGGCAAGTTCGCTGCCCTCCGCGTGCAGCTATTGCAGGGAGAGGACACAATATGACAGCCGGCAGCATTTAACAAGGACAAAACTGTGTGCTGCAGATTCATACAACAGAGTTCGGGAAAGATGATGGGGGTGCCAGAGGTAGGAAGAAGCTCCAGGAGGTCTACATGGTAGAGGCACAGAGGGAAGGCCTGGGCCCTGACTTGCTCCACAGATGCCCTCCAGTAGAAGCACACCGTGGTCCTTTGCTACAGCGTAAATGGAGCTAATGGACAGTAGTGCCCGTTAGCACCTCCCAACAAGCAATCCCCTGGTGCTGCTACTCTCATTGAGGGCTATGCCATCCTGGAAGCCGGGGCGCACGCTCGGCCAAGAAAGGATGGTAGACATTCCATTCTGCTTCCCCATGAAAAATAGGATTAGCAGCTAAAATGGGTGAGTGGAGCTGGGATCGATGGAGAATTGCTTCCGAAGCAGAGTCAGAGAACTCAGTCACATGCCAAATGATGTAACTGGACTGCTGTCTTACACCACCCACCAAAATCAACTCAAAACGAAAAGGCAGCCTACCAAATGAGAGAAAATATTTGCAAATCATATATTTGATGAGGGGCTAATATCAAAATTATATAAAGAACTCATACAACTCAATAGCAAATAACAGTCTGACTAGAAAAGGGGCCAGAGGATCCGAAGAGACATTTTTACAAAGAAGACATACGTATTGGCCAACAGGTACATGAGAAGATGCTCAACATCACTCATCATCAGGGAAATGCAAATCAAAACCACAACGAGACATTACTTCACATCCATTAGAATGGCTGTTATCAAAGAGACAAGAAATAATCATTTTTGGTGAAGATGTGAAGAAAAGTGAACGCTTGTGCACTGTTGGTTGGAATGTAAATTGATCCAGCCACTACTGGGAAACAGTATGGAGGTTCCTTAAAGAACTAAAAATAAAACTACTATACGATCCAGTAATTCTGCTTCTGGGCATTTATCTAAAGAAAAAAACACAAATTCAAAAAGATATATGCACCCCCATGTTCACTGCAGCATTATTTACAATAGCCAAAATATGGAAACAACCTAAGTGTCCATCACAGATGAACAGATAAAGAAAATGTGGCATATATACACAATGGAATTCAGCCATAAAAAGGAATGAAATGTTGCCATTTACAACAACATGTATGGACCTCGAGGGCACTATGCTAAGTGAAGTCATACAGAGAAAGACAAATATATGAACTCACTTATATATGGAATGTTAAAACAAACAAAACAAAAAAATAAGCTCAAAGATACAGAGAACAGATTGGTGGTTGCCAAAGGGTTGGGGGTGGGGTGGGAGAAATGGGTGAAGTGGGTCAAAAGGTACAAATTTCCAGTTATAAATAAATAAGTCATAGGGGTGTAATGCACAGCACGACAACTATAATTAATAATGCTGAAATGCTCACTTGAAAGTTGCTAAGAGATTAGGTCTTAAAAGTTCTCATCTTGTAAGGGAGCGAGCTCAAATCCAAAAGTGACTTACCCACAGCCCTGCCTTGGTAACAAGGAGAGAACAGTGAACTCAAAGGGTTCAGGGGGCGCCTCGCCTGTGTGTCTTGTCCCGGAGGCCATTCGTAGCCAGCTTCAGATCCCGTTCCTCATGGACAAAAACTGTTAAAAAAGAAGTAAACAATTTAGGTGATACAAACAAACGTTAACACTTGCTGAAGTGAACAGTCTCCTTTAGGAGAACTACAAAATTGGGGGTGGGAAGAAAAGAAACTTTTATAGGATAAAAAATAAAAAAGAAGGAAGAGACAAATAGAATTATATATATATATATATCCGATTGGCTGGGGCAACCCAGTCAACCTTGTTTGGGGTGAGAAGCCCCAGAGTTGACTTGGCATTTGGGGATTGACTGCTAGGTAGAGTTTCTGGTCAAGCAGAGCATTTATAGGGACAAGAAAGTTATGAAATTCCCATTTGCTGAGGTGGCTCCCTGGGCAGGAGCGGCTCCATCTTGTAACAGAAATTTATTTCAACAGACCCCAAACTTGTTCTTATCCCTTCCTTCCATACTTTGCTTACCTTATTTTTTTCCTAAAAATTAAGGATAAGGCAGCAGCCGCTGGTCCCCTGGACCTGTCCGGGGCTTCCCCCAGAGTTTGGACGGCACTGACCCAGGGACGCCCCTTCTTCCCGCCTCCCCCCAGCCTCTAACCTCTTCTGCAGGCGCAGCCTCCAGAACCATCTTCTCTGCGATCCTCTGCCCCCGCGAGCAGCCAGCAGAGCATCTTGAGCTTCCTCCTCGTCACCTCGGACCATGAGCTCCCGGCTTCACCCGAAGGACTCCGCCGCCTGCGGGCCTCGCACCCACCTCTCTCGGGGCTTCCACTCAGCGGCGGCGAGGTGGCTCCCCAGGGCGTGGGTCACACCCCGCAGCCCCGGAGCCGCCGCAGCCCCGGGGCCGAACCGAACCAGACCCTCTGGACCTGCGGGCCCGGTGCCGCTGACTTCCGGACGGCCACTTCCGGCACGAGCAGGTGACACCCATCAGGAAGACGCCCAGCCCCTGACTCACCGCTGCAGCCTGCGCCGGCGAGTTCCCCTCCAGAGGCCCACCCTCGAGCACTGGCTAGGGGCCCCGGAGCCCAGCAGCCTCTGAGGGGTCCCGCTGCCCACCCCCACCCCCACCCCCAGCCAGGGCTTCTGCCGGAGCCTCTCCTGCCCGCAATGGTCAGCTGTCTGACCACCCTGCACCCTCTCCGGAGCGGTGGGCCAAATGGAAACAAGCTTTTTTCAGGCATTAAAAAAAAAAAAAAGAATGTAACAGTAAGATTCCCTGCAATCGGCCTGCTTCATAGGTTAGCTCAAAAGAGCTTCACAGTGTAATTATTATAAATATTGTCGTATTTTGGGTTATTGGAGGTTAGGATTAAACTTCAGAGTCATTAGCTTAGTAATTTGGGGGGATGTTGGGTGTGAATAAGGACAGGGACACATTTTAGGGCATTAGAAAGAGCTCATCCAGCATTTCTAGCTTTCTTCCAAATTAAAGTGTAAATCATGTCTGTTTCATTTCTTCTGCCTCTCAGTCCCTGCCTAGTCCTCTCAGAGTTTCCAGAGAATAAGCTCACCCACCTTGATTGTTTAAATGAGAAAGGAGCTGCTATTCTTAGCCAGGGAGATTCACTTGTGTTGCTCTAACAACCTGCCTTTCTATCCTTTCCCCTGAGGGCGCGTCTCTTTCTCTAATGCAGTGGTTCTCGGCCCAGTTACATATTAGAATCACCTGGGGGTGCTCTTTAAAAAAATACCAACACTAGGCCCCACCTCCAGTGATTCTGACTTAATTGCTCTGCAGAATGTTTCTAATATTCAGCCAGGTTGAGGATAATTGCTGTAGTGTATGAAATAAATTTATCATCCATTCTCCTACCCTAATCAAACAATGGGTTTTTCCCCTCCTCTGATGGAGTGAGAGTCCAGTTCTACTCATGATTTGCCTAGCTTTGGATGGATTGGGATTTTTTTTTATTAGTTTTAGGGATGGTTTTTAGTGAATTAGGGAATTAAGATCTTTGTCTTTCAGAGAACTGTCAGGATATTACATGAACCAACTCACCCCTCCTTTGACCAAAATGAAAGAGGGCAAAAATATTTTTAAAATGAGACTCTGTGATGGGCATTAAGGAGGGCACGTGATGTGATGAGCACTGGGTGTTATATGCACCTGATAAATTGTGGAACTCTACATCTGAGACTAGTGATGTACTATATGATGGCTAATTGAATTTAAATAATAATTTTTTAAAAAGACTCCGTGAGACTCCCAATGCAGTATAACACTTTGACAGATGTTAGGATCACTTAGCCCTGTATTTCTCAACTACAGGGCTGCCTCAGAATCACCTGTGCCCTGCTCAATGCCCCATTTGAATCCAGATACCAGGCCCCATCCACGGAAATTCTGATTCAGTAAATCTGAAGTAGGGATCAGGAATCTGAAGCTAAAACGGGTTCCCCAGAATATTCTGATACATAGCTAATTTGGGGAACCACTTATTTTGACAATTTCTCTCTTGCATTAATTGATGGGAATGCCTTAGTTTCTACAGTAGTGTCCTTCAACCATCCTCTTTCAAAATGGTGTCCAAACTTTGAACTGTTGATGCCTCCTCCCTAGTATCCCTCTTAATGGTGTATGTAGCATGTCCTGTTTACAGTTAAAGAAAACTTGTGTTGAAGATTCTGAGAAAAAGTTTAGGGCTACGGTTAGGATTGAATTAGGATCATAGAACTCCCTTTGGAAATAACACCAGACAGGTTATACTACAGTGAGAACACACTTGAATCAGGAATAAAGTGGAAGGGGAAAAAACATTTGAATAAGAAGTTGGCCCTCTCCCTGTTCAAAGACCATGAAAGAGTCCCTTTCCTGGGTGTTGATAGCGGTCTATCCTTTCTCCCCAACCCTGTGTGTACTCTTCAATGCAAAGGAAATTAAATAGGAGACTTGAAAGAGAAAACTGGAGGAAGGCTAAGGTAGAAGGGAGTATAGAAAAGGAGGGAAAAGAATCGGGTAAGGAACAGTATGAGAAGCCTCCAAGTAGAGTTTGACATTGGGGGAGAAAAAACTCAGAGAGAGAGAAAATAGAGTACGTCATATGCTTCAACCCCTAGCACTCTGATTCCAAGTCTTCAGGATGTCCATGGACCACTCCCATCTCTGAACACACAAAACTCGATGCGGCACCATTTTTCCGCAGAGCAGTATGCACCATACAGATATGAAACGGGCTCCACATTTTCCACAGTACTTCTTTATCAACTTACAACATCCCTACATTGCTTCCTGCCTGCAGAAATCTTGGAAAAGTGGAGAGGAGACAGTCTGCTGGTGGAGCTACACAAATACAAGTTGAAGTTGAGATCCAGGGAGGCAGTGCTTGGGGCATAAGTCATCAAATCTCTTTGACTTTCTTTTTAAAAAATCACTGAGCACTTGTTAGGTATCCTGCATTTACCCACACATGATCTCATTTCATCCTCGGTAGGGCCCTAAGAAGCAGGACTACTATTTACGTTTTACAGAGAAGGAAACTGAAGTTTCAGGAAGTAGCATGAAACATGACTGATCCAAAGAAGTAGAGCCAAGTTCAAACCCAGATCTTCCTGTACCAAGAACGGTACTCTTTCTGCTGTCCCCTGGCTGCTTTTAGATTTAAGCTCCAGGTTTTGGTCCAATAGAACTAGAATGTCTTTTTTTTCCTATTAACTGCTACATTTGGAATATGAAAAAGCTGCTCATGTTAGGGGAATTAGTAAAATTAAGGAGACAAATGCATCAGAGGGCATCCCTTTGTTACTTTCTGGTCTTTTCCCTAAATTTTCCTCACTCTGTCAATTTCCTTACAATTGCCCCCTGCTTGTCCCCATCTTGTATTCATAACAGTTCTCCAGCAATCTTCCCATCCAGCTATGTTCAGGGTCATCTGTAAATGGAAGAATAGTTATTATAGCCATAATTTATTTATTTTATTTTATTTTTTAGCCATCATTTATTTTAGTGAGTGCTTACCATGTCAAGAAACTAAACTAAGCATTTCAAAGGCATCTCATTTAATGCATACAATAAACTCTTGTGACCAGTTCAATTAGTATCTCCATTTTACACATGAGAAAACTAAAGCATAGAATTCATGTAACTTACCCAAGATCTCACAGCCATTGAATGGTTACTTGAGAGATTCAGATTCACGTCAAACTACAGAGTTCACATGACTAAACCAACCTAGATGAGTCAAGAGAACCGTGAAGCTCTCAGGTCAGATCGTTCAGAAAAAGCATAAAGCCCACACCAGAATTTCACAAATGGAATGAGCATGATATTAAAATTTTAAGCAATAATTTGAATCCTAAAGTTAATAGGGAACCACAAAAGACTCCAAAAAGCCAAAGTAATCTTGAGAAAGAAGAACAAAGCTAGAGACATCATGTTCCCTGCTTTCAAATTATATTACAAAGCATAATAATAAAAACAATATGATATTGGCATAAAAACAAACACAAAGATTAATGAAACAGAATAAGGAGCCCAGAAATAAACCCATGAGTATATGGTCAATTAATTTATGACAAAGGAAACAAGAATATACAATAGGAAAAGGACAGTGCCTTCAATAAATGGTGTTGGGAAAACTAGACAGAAATGCAGAAGAGTGAAACTGGACCACTGTATTACATCATACACAAAAAATAACTCAAAATGGACTAAAGACATGACCATAAGACCTGAAACCATAAAATTCCTACAAGAAAATATAAGCAGTAAGCTCCTTGACATCAGTCTTGAAAATAATGATTCTCTGAATTTGACACCAAAAGCAAAGGCTACAAAAACAAAAATAAGCAAGCGGAATTACATCAAATTAAAAAGTTTCTACACAGCAAAAGAAATTTTCAACAAAATAAAAAATCAACCTATGAGTGGGAGAAAATATTTGCAAATCATATATCTGATGAGGGGCTAATATTCAAATTATATAGAGAACTCATACAACTCAATAGCAAATAAGCAATCTGATTTAAAAAAAAAGACAGAGGATCTGAAGAGACATATTTCCAAAGAAGACCTATGTATTGGCCAACATGTACATAAGAAGATGTTCAACATCACTCATCATTGGGGATATGCAAATCAAAACCACAAGGAGATATCACCATTAGAATGGCTACTATTAAAAAGACAAGAAATAGTAATTTTTGGTGAAGATACGGAGAAAAAGAAACTCTTGTGCACTGTTGGTTGGAATGTAAATTGGTGCAGCCACTGTGGGAAACAGTTCCACTTCTGGGTATTTATCTGAAGAAAATGAAAACACTAATTTGAAAATATATGCACCCCCATGTTCATTACATTATTTACAATAGCCAAAATATGGAAACAATCTAAGTGTCCATCAACAGGTAAATGGATAAAGAAATGTGGTATATACATAAAATGAAATATTATTCAGCCATAAAAAAGAAAGACATCCTGTTGTTTATGACAACATGGATGACAAATACTGTATGATCTTACTTACATGTGGAAACTTAAAAAAAGAAGAAGAACTCATAGAACAGACTGGTGGTTGCCAGAGGCAGTGGGGGGAGGGGAGGGAGAGATGGATGAGGGGTTCAAAAGGTATAAACTTCCAGTTATACAATAAGTCCTGGAGATGTAATGTATACCATTGTGACTATAGCTAACAATACTGAATTATGTATTTGAAAGTTTCTAAGAGTGTAAAACTTCTCATCACAAGAAAAAAGAATTTGTAAATATGTGTGTTGACAGATTTTAACTAGACTTATTTTGGCAACAAAAACTAAATTAAAAAGCAGCTAATAAATGTAGAGAGTGGAATGAGAGATTTCTTTCTTTTTAAAAAAACAGGTTTATTTATTTATTTTAGAGAGAGAGAGAGAGCACATGAAT